CATTGGTTCCCCAGTAAAACTTTAATCAAACATTGACTTGACAAGAACCTTGAAAGGCAATAAGCATTGCTTAGGATCCTCAAGAAAATAAGTCTCACAACAAATGGAAAATGTATTTGTTAATGCTATTATGTCTCATAATTCTTTTTTTAAAAAAAGAAAATGAGAATTAAAAGATGTTAATAGGATATGGGAATGGAGATATTTTCCAAAATAGACAGAAAAAATGAGAAAGCCTAAGCAAGTGATGAAGGTCTGTTTAGGTTTGTTATGATATATGAAGGATGAGACAAAAATAATATACATATCTTTAAATTTCTATGGTCATAGTTTAGTTAATTAATTTAAGGAACAAAATATATATCTAGTCAAGGTTTATCTGAGAATATTTGGTTATTTTACCCAAGCCTTATCTATACAGCACATGATAATTAAAAGTACAAAACTGGTGGAACTAAACTTATTGGATGTTTAATAGCCATACTGTGAGGCCTGTACTAATGTGGTCAGAGGTACTTAAAGGATTGTTTTTGTCCTTTGCCCTCCAAGGTCAAATAAGTTCCAGGGGACTAAGGAACATCTCTCAAAACATCCTGTAACTGTGGTGAGTCACCTGTCCTCTTGTTCAGGGAGGGCATGGAGATGGACTTGAACCAGAGGAGGCTCAACTCAGAGGAAACATCTCATTCACGCTTCTAAGTGAAGCCAGACATGGTCGAACAGGACCTTTGACTTATCTTCACATTGATGGAACCGGTAAAAGAAAGGAGACAGGAGCTCCTCTCAAGCCCATGTGACCCCTGAAGAACAGACCCTCAAATGATCTTAAGTGTAAAAGTAAATTGCTTTACTTGGGCCAACTGTATGGTCTTAAACACCCAAAAGGAAAGTATAACCAAAGAGTAAAGTCATCAATATATTTCTTTAAGAGTTCAAGGGATTATACTTCCCAGACATTAGACTTAAGTCTATATAAAAAGTTAGACAGTTATTTCTCATTGATGGTTTCTGTTCCTTACCAGAAAATGCTGCTCAGATGCAAGACTTCAAATCTTGGTTTCCAATACTGTAGTGCCCACCTGTAGCTGAGGGAGACAACCAGCTATTGTTCTAAAATGTTGGATATATTTGTTTTCTCCTCCTCTTAGAAGCCTTTGAGAGGGAACTGACACTGATTCTAACCACTCCAACAGCTCTCAAAATACCTGAAAACAAATCCTGAATCAATCACTATAGAGTTCAGCCTTGGAAGATAAAAGAAAAATGAGGAGGAACCCAATAGAGGGATGCTTTTGGAAGCCCTTGTCAAGAAATTCCAATGGACTCTCATATGAACATTTGAAAATTGCCCTGTTCTGACTTTTTTTTTCTAGTTCCCTGTCTAGAACCTGTAATGCTAATTACTCTTCCCTTTACTTCTCCTTCACATCTCCTATTCACAATTCAAAGACTTTCTTTTCTTTCTCAAGATAAGAGTTATTCAATTTTGGGAGTCTTTTAGACAAACCCACTGAAGGGGTACTCCAATTGCCTCGCCCTGTATCACTGTTCGGTACAGAAGAAGCTAAAGCAGTCTGCATCCTGATTCCCTATTTGTTATTTGAGTAACCTCTTCAGAGGATGGTGTGATAAGAATAGGAGATAGGGATTTTCTTGGCAGTTAGGGTAAAAAACCCAAAGAAAAGTAGCCAGTTTCTTGGCTAAAACTCACAATGTCCTTTAGCATCTTAGCAACCTATTCCATTCCAAAGGCCAAAAATTTTGAAAATATTTGGGAGCTTTTATCTAATTCTTAAGTGATTTTAGGGTTACCTCTTCAGAAGGGGGAATATTAGAGTAGCCAAAAGCCCCATAAAAAGATAAATAAATCAAAGAAGAAGAAAGAGTACACGAAGTTATCAGAAAAAAAGTGATAGTGAGATATGGGAGGAGTTAGAGGGGAGGGAGCAAGCATGGATTTGATCAAAACACCTTATTTGCATGTATGAAATTCTCAATAAATTATTTATTTAAAAATGTATTTTCAGGGGGGTAGATGTCAGGACTACCCCTTTGGCTTATCGATGTCCCTAAAGGAATTCATAGGATTCAGAAGTTGTTGTCTTTATGATTACAATACATTACAGCAAAAAATATAAAGTATAATCAACAAAGAGAAAAGGTTCATGGGACCAGATTCAAATGGAACCAACTGTAAGCTCTGGAAAGTCCCCTTACAGTGGAATTGCACAGAATTCCTTCTGCACTGGCACGGACAGCAATGGACAATCTGCCACTGAACAAAGTACATCTGAGCCTGACCAAGCTTTTCTTTATAGATTAGTCATATAAGCACCTGTTCTACCTAAGAACTGTGAAGGCAAATTGCTGCAGTACAACTAAAGAATTTGGATACACCAAAGCTTTAATACCTAAGACAGTAAACAACCACAATATTCATCAGCAGGTAAAAAGAATATTGTATTATATCTGTGTCATGTTACACTACTGAACAGTAAAAAGGAACAGTAAAATAATCATTCTGAATTAAAGAAATCAGGCACAAACAAGCACACTGCTTCATTTATAGTAAGTGGGAGTATAAGCTAGATTACAAGCATGAGGAAAAGCAGATCAGGGTTGCTCTGAGATGAGACCAGGCAGGAAGTCAGGCAGGGATTACAAAGTGCAAAAGGACACAGGAAAGCTTCATTGTCTGCATTTTGGTGGTGGTTTCACAGTGTCAAGCCTTGAAACTGGTAAGCATCTGGAATTTATTATGTGGAAATTATTCCTTGGCAGAGCTGTTAAAATGACTATGTCTGTCTTCATGTGTCTGTGATGTATGTTTTGTTATCATTTTAATCAGTGAGAATTATCACCCACAATTTAACAAATGTTATCCCTAAGTAGGAAAAGAATTAGAGATGTTTTCAGTTTTCTCCTATGAGTTCATCCTCATTTTCTTTTTTTTTTAACTTTTACAAAATCTTTATTGAGAATTTCATGCATGCATATAAGGTGTTTTGATCAAATCCATCCCCACTCCCTCCCCTTCAATATTCCCCCCTCTGAAGAGGTAACCCTAAAATCTTTTAAGGATTAGATACAAGTTCCCAAATATTTTTGACATTTTTTGGCCTTCGAACAGAGTATGTTGCTAACAGGCCCAAGGAAAATTTGACTTTTAGCCAACAAACTGGATACATTTCTTTGGGATCTTTTTACCCTAACTGCCTAACCAATTCCTACCTCCTATTCCTATCATGCCATCCTCTGAAGGGGTTACCCAAATTGCAAAATAGGGAATAGGGACACAGACCTCACTGATTTCTTCCATGCTGAACAGGGATGCAAGGTGAAGCAATTGGAGCACTCCTCCAATGGGTCTGTCTGAAAGACTCCCAAATTGCATAACTCCTGTCTCCAAGTCTCAAAAGGGAAAAGAAAGTCCTTGAATCATGAATAGGAGATGTGAAGGAGAAGTAAAGGCAAGAGTAATTATCATTACAAGTTCTAGAAAGGAAACTAGAGAGAAGTCAGATCAGGGCAATTTTCCAAATCTTCATATGAGAGTCCATTGGAGTTTCTTGACTAGGGCTTCCAAAGCATCCCTCTATTGGGTTCTTCCTCATTTTTCTTTGTCTTTCAAGGCTGGACTAATTGTCTGGGAAGAGTGGCTGGATACTCAGGTGAGGGTCCAGTGACCCTGCTTGGCACTCCTTTAATGAATGAGCACAACTGTCAACAAGCCCAATTATGAATACGTTTAGCCATAAGGCTCAGCTGAAGTCTTGATGATGGTAGTTATTTCATGTAGAAGGGACTGCTGTATAGCATCACCTTATTAAAAGGATCTGGAATTTAAAAGGATTTGGTGCTAGGAACCACATATGAGGGAGAACATACGTCATTTGTTTTTCTGAGTCTGTGTTACTTCACTTAGTATAATTTTCTTAATACCCTACAACAATTTTAAACATTAAGACTAAATGTTCTTCAGAGCTGAGTGTGGTGACATGCTGGTAATTCGAGCATTTGGGATGTGGAAGCAGAAGGATAAGAAGTTCAAGGACAGCTTTGGATAGAAAAACTAAACATCAAAATCACTAAATCTTCTTCAGTATTTAAGGTCCTTTAAAAAATAAATGTATTGCTGGGTGTGGTGGCACATGCCTTTAATTCCCGCACTAAGGAAGCAGACACAAGTGGATTTCTGTGAGATCTAGGCCAGCCTGGTATATGTACCAAGTTTCAGGCCAGCTGAGGCTATGGGGAGATCATTTCTAAAAATACGTAGATATATAATATGTGTATACATATTATATGTATATAATATATGTATATGTATTGCTGCATTAAGGAAAAATGGGAAGGTAAAGCTAAGTCTATAGTCTGTATATTCTTTCTACTTTCTTACAGTATGACCTCTTTACAATGAAGAAAGTTCTGTATTTAAAAATACAATGTGATTTTTAAAAAGTACCGTCTTGTGCTGGTAAGTTATCCCTTGTGCTGGTAATTATTTCCCTATTTCTGTTTGTTAAAGTAACCAAGACTGAGTTTATAAACATGAGCTTTGGCTACGAACATTTACTCTAACAGTTGCCTTCCTTTGGTTCCTGGACAGCAAAAGATTAGCGAAGGAGGGTAAGGGGCAGTTCAGTCCTTTCTTTTGCGAGTCACTGTTGCCTGCTCTTACGCAAGAAGTTTTTAATTTAGGTAAAATAATTAATTATACACTATCGAAACCAGGAATCTTGTGTTGATAATGTGGTACATGTTTAGATTAACAGCATCTGTCTGTGTAGGCTTTCCCAGCCGCCTAGCGTCACATCCATGGATCAGTTGCGAGGTGCCGCCAGCCAAGGTCTCATGGAACTCGGAGCCCGTGGAAGAAAAGGGTTGTGTGACACAGAGGCCATTGTCTAAGCCCGCGTTCTGATTCAGACCCGACGCTCAGCAGACCTTGTGCTGATCTTGCTCGGCCTCAGTCTCCTCACTTCCAAGCTGGAGGAGTCATGCTGTCCTGCTTCTGGGTCCTCTCCAAGCACATGGGCCCTGCACGAATGTCCCTGCACAGTGCGCGGCACAGATTCGCTGTCCTACAGTGCTGGGCTGCCCAGAGCCCCTTAGGACCCCTGCCAGCCTCCCCTGGACGCCAGCTGGCCGCAGTGGCCTCCTCCAGGGACCCTACTGGGTCTACCAGGGTGCGCCAGAACTTTCATCCTGACTGCGAGGCTGCCATAAACTGCCAGATCAACCTAGAGCTCTATGCGTCCTACGTTTACTTGTCCATGGCTTATTACTTCTCCAGAGCCGATGTGGCCTTGAATAACTTCTCCAGGTATTTCCTTCGCCAGTCCCTGGAGGAGAGGGAGCATGCGGAGAAGTTAATGAGACTGCAGAACCAGAGAGGAGGCCAGATCTCCCTACAGGACATCAAGAAGCCGGACAGGGACAACTGGGAGAGCGGGCTGTATGCCATGGAAAGTGCTCTGCTTCTGGAAAAGAATGTGAACCAGTCACTGCTGGAGTTGCATACTCTGGCCTCAGAAAAAGGTGATCCCCATTTGTGTGACTTTCTGGAAACCCACTACCTGAATGAGCAGGTGAAGTCTATCAAGGAGCTGGGTGACCATGTACACAACTTGGTTACCATGGGAGCCCCGGCTGCTGGCCTAGCTGAGTACCTTTTTGACAAGCACACCCTCGGAAAGGAGGACAAGAACTAAGGTGTTGGCTGCCTTTCCAACACCCCAGTGCATCTCAGGACCTGGGTCAAAGATCTCCTTCCAAAATTCAACTCCCTCTTGCCATTCTCCTCATTTTTGTACTGTTGTGCCAATAAAGTGATTTGTAGAGAAAATATACTCAGCCCCATGTTAACAACAGCTTTCTACCCACATCAAGATACTAAGAAAGGTAGCCAAGAATACTATGGCATGAAAAGAACTGAAGAAAGCACTGGAAATAGATACAAGCTCATGGTCTTCAAATAGTATTACCAAATATTATTCCTAACCATGAACCTAAACTAAAATTCCATGATTTTCAATTCAAGAAGAATCTGCTTTTTCAAGATCTTATGCAAAATGTTAAAGTAGGAAAACATATAAGATAATATATAACTATGTCAGAGAATATATACATCCTTTGAAAATCACACATGCAAAATTTTATGACAACTATTATACATTCCAAGTGTGCTTCAAGAAATGGCGATGCATGGAGATGATTTGGTTCCTTTAAAAGCTTCCGTGATGGAATTTGGGATTCGCTACATCAGGTATCAAGAGTGGCCTTGGAAAGTCACAGTGGATCAACACTTAAGGGCTCTGAGATGTCTCTCAATTAAAAACAAAAAACCAAATGAATGATTGAATTATTTCTGTTTTAGTATTTCCCAATTACATGCAATCGCAAGACAATTTTTTTTCCCTTAAAAAAACAAAAACTAGCTGGGCGTAGTGGTGCACTCCTGTAGTCCAAGCAATTGGGAGGCAGAGGCAGGCAGATCTCTGTGAGTTCAAGGCCTGCCTGGTCTACATAGTGAGTTCCAGGCCAGCTGGGGCTACAGGGAGATCCTGTCTCAAAAATACCAAAAACAAAACAAAACCTACAATGTAACAAAAGGGGTTGGTTAGTTGCAGATTGTGTATACCACCACTGGGTTGTAGAGCCTCCTTTTCAACATCCCCCACAGTGAAAATTCTGCATAATATGCATTTATGTAGTGTTTAGAAGGGAGAGGAAAAAAATAGTGGAGTAGAGAAAGGTTCCATAAAGAAGGAAGTATCCTACTAGGTGAAGGTTTCCTTCAGAGAGGTACGGTAAAATGAATGGAGAATGTTTGGTGAGCAGGCATTGGGCTCAGCTGGAGAACTATGTGATGGTTGGAAAGGCCTGTGCACTGAAGTGTGGAGGAGGTATGGGCTTAATTTAGGATAGACATGGGAAAAGGTATTCAAGGGTTCCAACCCAGGAATGCTCAAAAAGTTGAGCAATCAGAAGATTAACCTGCAAACAACATGAAGGTTTATGGTTAATTCCAGTCCACTGAGATACAGATGCTAAGAAATTAGTGCATAAGAAGTTAGAGGAATCTGAGGGCCATCTAAGAGAAAACAGGGAGAGAGTCTTGGGAGAAGCAAGGTATTTATTTATTCTTCCAGGAAGATCTTAAAAATCTACAAGATCAAAAGACATGTGTTAGATTTCCTGTAAATCTGATTCCTAGGGAAGGAAAAAATGAAGTTATAGAAAATGTTGCACTGAAACGCCCTATCCCAAAGAAATTGGTAAAGAGCTATCAGGAAACTTTCAGCCAAAGTCAATTACTCAGAGGAAACTCAAGAATCCCAGAAATGGGCCTGCCTAAGTACCTTTCCAATTACTTTTCCAATGTACTCAGTGATTGACTGGGAGGAACCCACAAGTGAGGACTTTTAGTGTATGGCAGCTTGGTGCCCTTGGCCAGTTAAGGCTCCCTGTAGTCCAAAATCTGAAGAGTACACAAACACAATGATTCAGGGAAAAGCACCATTCACGGGATACCACTGAAGCTGCTGTTAAATGTAATTTTGTCAAATTATGATGTGGACATAAACTCATTATGTGTTATTTTAAAAGCAAGCAGTATTTTGAGACAGAGTTTCATTATATAAGCCTAAATATATAAAAAAGAAATAGAGAAACTTTCAAAACATGAATGTTACATTGATAGGAAATTATATATATAGATATACACACACATATATATATTAACGACTTTAGATAATCTCTTAAATAGTGACATTGTAGTTCAGATTTTAAAAATTATCTGTCTTTTAAAACAAGTTTCTTATGCCTAGCCATTATTACCTAAGAAAAAGAAAACACGAGATACATAGAAAAGCAATAAAGGTCTGAACTATGCTGAATGTATATGAGAATAGAAAACTCACAAATAGAAGCTAGTGGGAGTTCAAAGGTAAAAGCATTTAAATTTCGTGGCCATGGTCAATTGAAAGGAAAGAGTTACCAAAATGGGGTATGGGAAGAAGACTCCAATCAGTTCCTGAAGAATACGGTTCTAAGAATAAATCACATTTTCAGCAGGTGGAGTAAATGGAAGAGGGAAATGTGCAATGATGCTAGTTAGTTTGCTGATGCTAATGAATCTCTTTTTACATCCTATTCTGAAATAGCCTATATTTCTGCATAGAAATTCTATTATATTTCTCTAGAAAATTTCCTCTTCAATTTTTCTAGATGAATGTTTTTCAAACAACACATTCTAACCCATTAGTGTGTCAGTAGATTGTTTAGTGAGTCACTATCCACCTTTTGTGCCTGAAATAGAATTGAAGTGAAAATCATTGAAGTAAAGGTATGATCTAATGAGACTTGTTTCAGGTAAGTGTGTGTGTGTGTGTGTGTGTGTGTGTGTGTGTGTGTGTGTGTTTCCCATGAATTTACATCTTAGAGGGTGACATTTCTCATTCTGTTGCTGTCAAAAATACTCAATAGCTATTCTCTTGGATGATAATTTTACAGTCTCCAAGTTCCTCAAATCTCCCAGTCTCCTTTCCCCACTGTTAGCTGATAATCCTCTTACTCACTGAGAAATCAATAGTAATGGCATGAGAATTTCACACTGCTCTTGCACTGAATTAATCATATACTTACATTTGCATTCATTTAATATGATTTTTGTTGTGTTAACAATGGTTGAAGTATTTATTTAGCTTCCTAAACAAGCCTCCAAAAATGCTATTTTTCCTCATCTTTAATAAGTAACACTAACTTTACACTCAGTATAATTCTAGAACATTACAAGCTATCACCTGTATTTACCCTCACTTTTAAAAGAACAGCCTCTGCTTTTAAATTCTACTTTTTATTCCATCCTCACCTGCTCAGTCCAAAGTTCATCACACAAATGTTGACTTTCCTTTTGTGTTTATAAATTCTTTCCCACCAGAAGGAAACATATTAGTTCAAAAACCCAATGAAAAATGATACATGCAATATCTTTAAATGAGTCCATGTGTATAGCTGAAGGCTATATAGCAAGAAACAGTGCCAGACAGGACAAACCTCCCTTCAAGCTGTTGACCATGGATGTCCAAGAGACTCCCAAAATTACACAGCCTATTACCACATCCCTTGATTGCCTCCCAGAACTTTAAGGTAAGACCCTATTGCTGAAGACAGGATATACTTTGGACACAGGATTTGAAGCAATGGAGCTGGAAGTGACCTGGAAGCCACCTCCCTGAAGGCTAGCTCTCATAGTTTTGGAGAACACTATACAAGCTGCTAAGGGACAACATAATCAATGATCCAGTGAATGCTTTAAGGGCTAATAGTCACAACAATAACTGGCACAGCAAACTATATTGGGGCAGTAGTGGCACTTTTTTTCTGAATGAGGCAATTTATTAACCCAGCATCCTGTGTTCTAATGCTTCTTGTTGGCAGCTACCACCTGTTTGGTGATTCTGTCCAGATCTCCCCTTCCCTGAGGTGTTAGCTTGTGGCCCCCATTTTGACCCTTTTCCACCATTTTCAGCCCCTCCAAGGCTTGGAGGACCAGCCGGGCCACACTCTTGGAGCCTCTGCTGAAGTGGCTGGGCCTGACAGTTTCTCTTACGTCCTACATAGATCTTGGTCATAGAGCCAAGCCCAGCACTACCTCAAAGGTACAGGTGTCGTGCTGTGGAAGCAGCTTGTGTATAGAACCAGTTCTCATCATAGGGAACAAGCTCTTTATGTTTGACAAACTTGACTGTGTCCAACCATTCTGGAACTCTCAGCTTCCCAGACATTTTGAGGAAGGCTGCCAGAGCTCTGATGAACTCTTGCTGGTTTACATCTTTTACAGCAACTCCAGGCTCATGTTCCTGTAACCTCCGAGCTGTCAGCCAGGGGAAAGGGAAGGACGAAGTTTCCCAGCTGCACAAGTCAGGCATCAAGTCTCAGTAGTGGCACTTTTATCTTGGGGGTAATCAACAGCTACCTGATTGGATTTAATGTCCACTCAATGAGAGGGAACTCATGTGTGGTACTACAGACATAGGCAAATACACATGTCTGGAGCAGCCATAGATCTTAGAGAAAACCTCAAGGATGTTGCATCCCTGGAGAAATGTAATTTCTTACTATGTGTCAAATATGGATCATTTTATTTACAGACAAGTATGCCAGTCACCTCTCATCAAAGAAGCTTCTCTTGCAACAGATGGTGACTATCACAGAGTTCCACAACTGGTCATATACAGAGAAAATTGTCAATGTGCTGCCCAACTCTAAGTGACACATCTACAATGGAACCTCTGCACCTAAGGGTCACAGAACACAGTAGAACAAGAGGTAGAGAGAATACCAATGTATCACTCAGCTCTCATCAATGACATTCCCTCATGAAGCAGAGGTCCATAAACACAAAAGGACACAAATGGCCAAAGTATAGAGAATAAGAGTCTGTAGAGTGTGGGTCCTATAATTAAACTTCACCCACCCAGAGCTCAGGGACCATTGTGGAAGAGGGGGCAGAAAGACTATAAGAGACAGTGCAGGAGGTACATGACCACATCAAAAGAGTCTTTCAAGGTCCTGGAACCTTGTTCATGTGAATCTACAGCAATGGTGTCAATATGTACAAGACCCATGCAAACTGAAGCAGACAAAAACCCAGCATAGAGCTGTGGAAATGGGCCGCAGGACCCAATCTTAGCTGAAAAACTATTGT